TATTCGAAATTGATTAAAAAACAAAGAATGAAAAATTAATTCCAAAAATAAAAATCAACTCTATCAAGCTGGCCTTTCTCTAAACAAAAATCAAAATCCATGTGGAATCTAAATCGAAAACAAACCTAATTCAACTCCACTCAAAAACCTACGCGATCAACACACTGTCAACACTCTTTGAAATTGATTAAAAAACAAATAATAAAAAATTAATTCCAAAAATAAAAATCAACTCTATCAAGCTGGCCTCTCTCTAAACAAAAATCAAAATGCATGTGGTACCTCCATCGAAAACAAACATGATTCAACTCCACTGAAAATCTACGCGATCAACACACTGTAACACCACTGAAATCTCCGACGAAATCTCGAACGAAATCTACACGATCGTAGCAATCTTTCTCGTCAACTCCACTGAAATCTCCGACGAAATCTCCACCATAAAATCTCCATTGAAATCCCCGACGAAAACTCCAACAAAATCTCCACTTCAAATTCGGTTTCTAAAATCTATCAGTTAAGTCAACAATATAATATTCAAACAAATTTATGTTATAAAGGAAGGGTAATTTAAGTACTTTATAACCTAAAATAAATTTGAGGGACCTTAGCCATCAAAACATATTATAAAGGACCTCTCCTCCTATCAAAAGTAGAGGAGGGACCTTAGGCCAATTTTCCCTAGTTTTTATTTGATAATCCTACATCAGGAAAAGAAAGGAAAAAAATGAGTTGTTTTACTCATATAAAGGGAATTTTATACTCTCATTCTATCTAGTGAGAAGCATTGTGAGAGTTTCAATATCTCATACTAATTTTCTTAATTTTATTAATTTTAAATAATTAAGAAAATCTCCAAACATTTATTGTGAGAGTTATTTTACTCATAGAAAGTGAATTTTATACTCTCATCCCATTTAATATTGTAGTGTTGTGCATGTTTTAATTCAATATAGTTTAAATTTTAAAAGTTTAAATTAATTAATTATGACCTAGCCGATTAACCTAAATCATTTTTTATTTAATTGATTTGTTGATTTAACCGCGATTTTAACAGTTTTATAAAAATTTGTTGATTAGATTTGTTTTATTCGAAATAAATTAAAGATTGAAAGACTGAGATTTCTTGATTAAAAATAAAATTTCTATCCAAATAATTGTTAAATTTTATTTTATAATCCCATATCGGGGGAAAAAAAAGAGTTGTTTCACTTACATAAAGTGAATCTTAATAGTGTAGTATTGTATATATTTCAATTTATAGCAGTTTAAATTTTAAAATTACAATAATATTTAAAAGTTGTAATTAATTAATTTTTGTATAAGTTGGTTGGTTATTTGACCTAACCGATTAGGTTGAACTATTTTGGATTTGATCGATTCGCCGGTTTAATCGCGATTTCGCATATTTATTTTATTAATTTCAAACAATTAAAAAAAAATTACATTAGCTAACTTCCATTTAGCCATATAAAATAAAACTTTAATTAGTTTATAATTTATCTTATAATCCCACGTCGAGAGAAAAAGAAAAAGTAAAGTTTGTTTCACTATCTGTCTATATATTATATAAGGAAAATAAGATTTTAGGGTGAAACTTTCTAAGAGTTTCAAACCCTTATTCTAAAATTATTGAATTTTCTTAATTTTAAATAATTAAGAAAATTCACATTAGCTATCTTTTATTTACCTTTTATTTTACAATCCCACATAAAAAAAAATTGTGAATTATTTCACTTACATAAAATGAATCTTATGCTCCCATTTATATAAGTAAAAGGAAATTTTTAGTAAGAAATCCCATGATCAATATTACATACTCATTTTTTTAATTTTCTTAATTTTAAACAATTAAGAAAATCCTCATTAGCTAGCTTCCATTTAACTTTTATCTTATAATCCCCCATAGTTTTGATTTTAAAAATAATTTTGTATGAGATTTTGAAACTCTCATAATATTTAATTTTAAAATAATTACAATCCCACATCAAAAAAATAAATAAAAAGTGAGTTGTTTCACTTATATAAAGTATTACAATTCCACATTGGAAAAAGAAAGAAAAAGTGAGGTGTTTCACTTATATAAAATGAATTTTATAAAGGGAGTTTTAAGAGAAAAACCTTCTAGAAGTTCCAAATTCTCATTCTAAAATTATTGAATTTTCTTGATTTTAAACAATTAAGAAAATTTTCATTGGTTAACTTCCATTTACTTTTTATTTTACAATCCCAAATCGGGGGAAAAAAAAAGGAAAAAGTGAATTGTTTCATTTATATTAAGTGAATCTTATGTTCAAATTTTTATAAATTATTGAAATTTCTTAATTTTAAACAATTAAGAAAATCCCATTGGTTAGCTTTCATTTAATTTTTATTTTACAATCCCATATTGAGAAAAGAAGAAAAAAGTAAATTGTTTCACTTATACAAAGTGAAGATTTTTAGTGAGAAACCCTATAATCAATACAATTTTTTTTATTTTCTTAATTTTAAACAATTAAGAAAATCACCATTAGTTAACTTCCATTTAACTTTTATTTTACAATCTCAGATAGACATTTTAATTATAAAAATAATTTTGTATGAGATTTTGAAACTCCCATAATATTTACAACTTCACATCAATCAAGAAAATAAATAAACAGTGAATTGTTTCACTTATAAAAAGTAAATCTTATACTCTCATTTAATATTATAATATTGTGCATGTTTTAGTTCAAGATGGTTTAAATTTCAAAATAAAATTTAAAGATTTTAATTAATTAATTGTGTTGTAAATTGGCTGGTCTTCTGACTTATCCGATTAGGCTAAATCGTTTTCGGTTTGATTGATTCACTGGTTTAACCACGGTTTTAGCTGTTTTATTAAAATATATTGCTTAGATTTGTTTGATTTGAAATAAACTAATATTAACCTTATTAAAAATTGAACGACTGAGATTGTTTGATTAGAAATAAACTTCCCGTCCAAACAACTGTTAACTTTTATTTTACAATCTCACATCAGGAAAATGAGAAAAAAAAAATGAGTGGTTTCACTATATAAACCTTATGCTCTCATTTAATATTGTAGTGTTGCGTATGTTTCAGTTTGAGACAATTTAAATTTTAAAATTAAAATAAAATTTAAAAATTTTAATTAATTAATTTTTGTATAAGTTTGTTGGTCCTTTGACCTAGCTGATAGGATAAACTGTTTTCAATTTGACTGATTCGTTGGTTTAAATGTGATTTTAGCAGTTTTATCAAAATATATCGGTTAAATTTGTCTGATTCAAAATAAATTAAAAATTTATCTAATTAAAGATTAAACGGTTAAGATTGCTTAATTCGAAATAAACTTCCCGCCCAAACAATTATTAACTTTTAAACAATTAAGAAAATCTCCATTGGCTAGCTTTCATTTAACTTTTATTTTATAATCCCACATCGAGAAAAGAAGGAAAAAGTAAATTGTTTTACTTATATAAAGTGAATCTTATACTTCCATTTATATAAGCCAAATGAGATTTTTAGTGAGAAGCCTTATGATCAATATCTCATACTAATTTTTTTGATTTTTTTAATTTTAAACAATTAATAAAATCTCGATTGGCTAGTATCTATTTAACTTTTATTTTAAATAATATAAAAAATTAAATATAATTATCATATTTTTATTAAATAATATATTATTTTATCTTGTGCATTGTATAAGTGATATTCTAGTTTCTTTTTAAATAGAATATAACATGCATGATGGATTGTATATCCTCCAAAATGGCAAGATATATAATACCACAACCCCTAATTATATATTCTCCACTGGGATGGGATATGAATTGAAAAGCCATATATACCCCTTTTTGTATTAAATATGTATTTAGCAAACCAACAAATCCTACACCATTTGTAGTGTGGAAAGAAATCTTTCGGTGAAAGTTGGTTGTTTTTCTTTTGGAAAGAAACATATTTTCTTGTGGGGACATATTTTGTGAATGACAGCACGTGGCCAAGGTAATGCCGAAGTGTCAACCGAAGTGCCACGTGGCCTGGTTATGATGCCGAGGTGATCTCAGCCGAAGAAATCTCTTCTTCAAGTCCTGGAAACTCTGCTCTCATTTTTCGGTCCAAACGAACAGTGTGTCTTTTCGTGTTAGCTCAGTCAATGGCACGGCAATCCTTGAAAAATCTTGCACAAATTTGCGGTAGTAGCTAGCTAGTCCCAAAAAACTTCTAACTTCAGTCACGGTGGTGGGTCGAGACCAATTGACAATTGCTTCGATCTTTTGTTGGTCCACTGAAACTCCATCCTTACTGATGACGTGTCCTAAGAATGTGACACTGTCTAACCAGAATTTACATTTCTTGAACTTGGCATAGAGCTTTCGCTCCTTTAGCGTCTGTAGAACCTTTCGCAAGTGTTCTGCATGTTGCTTTTCATCCTTGGAGTAAATCAGTATATCGTCGATGAAAACAATGACAAATTCGTCCAAGAACAGCTTGAATACACGATTCATCAAGTCCATAAACGTAGCAGGTGCATTGGTCACGCCAAAAGGCATCACAAGAAACTCGTAGTGACCATAACGAGTACGAAAAGCTGTCTTTCCTATGTCCTCGGTTTTCACCTTCAGTTGATGGTACCTCAACCGTAAATCAATTTTCAGAAATACACATGCGCCTTGCAGCTGATCAAACAACTCATCGATTCAAGGTAGTGGGTACTTATTCTTTATTGTAACCTTATTTAGTTCCCGGTAATCAATACATAACCTCATTGTTCCATCTTTTTTCTTAACAAAAAGAACAGGTGCTCCCCATCGGGACGAGCTCGATCTAATAAAACCCTTGTTAAGTAACTCTTGTAATTGAACTTTGAGTTCTTTCAATTTGGCTGGGGCCATCCGATACGGAGCTTTGGAGATCAGTTGCATACTAGGTGCAACTTCAATAGAAAACTCAATCTCTTGATCTATTGGCATTCCAAGTAGATCCTTCGAAAAGACTTCTGAAAATTCTCAAACCATAGGAATAATAGATATCTTTGTATCTTCTACTGGTGACGACGAGATGCTGCACAAAAACCCATGACAACCCTTCCTTAGAAGTCGTCGGGCTTGAGCCGCGGATACTAAATACGGCGGTGGAACTATACCAAACCCTGTGAAACGAAAGTCCACATGACCCGGGATTCGAAACTCAACACACTTATGTGCACAGTCGATAGTGGCGTTGTTGGCAGATAGCCAAACCATGCCAAGGATAACGTCGAAGTGACCCATCTCCATGGGAATCAAGTCGACTGTCAGATGATTATTATCGAAACACACATCACAATTTCTATATACAGTTGAGCAACAACTACTGCCACTCATGGGCTGAGAAACAATCAAATCATAACCAAGGGGTTCAGGTATCTTAAGTAGTCTCATGGCAAAATGTAATGCAATGAATGAATGTGTTGATCCGGAATCTATAAGAGCATAAGCCGATAATGAAAAGATAAACAAGTTACCTGCAACTACCATTTCTGTGTTCTGCACGTCTCCTGGTATTAAGGCAAAAGCTCTGCCTTGTCGTTGATTGTTCACTAAGTTAGGTTCTGCCCCAGTTGCCTGCACCATGTTTCTCCCTAATGGTACCGTATTCGCTCCAGTTCGCACCAATTTAGGACAATTCCTTTTCATGTGTTCCCCCTCGCCGTAGTTAAAGCAAGTTCCAGCAGCTTTGCGACATTCTCCTGAGTGGAAGCTACCGCAAGTGTTATACTTAGGCACCTTATTGCCTCGATTGTTATTCTGCCTCCTAACATTAGATGGTCCTGCATTCTGTTTTTTGGGTGGAAAATCACTTGACTTATTCCCATCAAAGTTGTCAAAATGATGCTTTTTCTTCTCAGTGAACTTCTTCCTGCTATTGGCATTCCTCTCTACGATCATGGCACGATCAAATATGTCAGCGTATGTAACCAATCGCATTGGCAGTATGACATCACGGATGTCAGGGTGGAGTCCCTCTTCGAACCTTCGTGCTTTTAGATTTTCTGTGCTAATCAGGTGTTTCCCGTACTGTGATAGCCTGGTGAATTCTACTTCGTATTCAGTCACCGACATCTGTCCCCACTGCTTTAGTCGATAAAACTCCGCACACTTTGCATCTTGGACGGACTGAGGTATGTATTTCTCTCGAAAGACGACCAAAAATCGGTCCCAAATCATTGTCGGTTCAGTCTCTTCCTTCATCTCCTACCATTGCTGAGCTTCTCCTTGCAATTAATACGTGGCTAGTCCGACCTTCTGGGTTTTTGCACAATGCATAACTTTAAATATCTTTCTCAGCTCTGTAATCCAAGCATTGGCCCTTTCAGCGTTTATTCCTCCCGGGAAGGTTAGAGGTTTCAGCTTCAAGAATTCCTTCAAGTTGAGATCTTCCCCTTGAGGTTACACATTCCCCAACTGTGGGCTCTGGGCATTGTTAGTTGGTTGTTGTTGTACTTGAGGTGGTGGTGCAATTACTTGAGGTGGGTTCTGTGGAGGTGGGGGTTGTTGCCTTTCAGCATGGGCTGCCGTGAAGAATTGCTCCATCATTTTTTCTAACCGATCAAGACGGCTCGAGTCGCTAGCTCCAAAAGCCCTCACAGGTTCCCTCAAGTGTTCATCCTAAAATTCAGCGTGTTAATACTAAGGTGGGATTTCGACGAGTCATAACTTGTATTGTATCATAGAGATAAGGAAGTTGGAAACGAGAAACGTATAACAAAGGGAAGTCATCATAACTATGCATCCATTTATATATATGTACATATATCCATGAGTTGATGTACACGTGGTCAACTTCACATGGTGGTTACAAAAAATGGTATTATGTTAGAATGACGTAATTACAAAAAACACTTAAGCGCCACAAAGCCCAAAACTAGTTTTCCAACGTCCTAAAAGGCATCAAAACTAATCTAGACTGTACATGTTAGCATCAAGGCCCCTATTACATACAAAATGTAAGTATAGTTGCCCAGTCTATATTCTCCCCCACCAGGACTAACTAGTCGTCAGATCCATCCAACTCGTCGCAAGACTCAACGTCATAAACCTCAGGTTCGTTGGGGTTGAACTCAGGTTCTTCCTCAAGTTCTTCTTCAGGGTCTTCTTCTATGTCATCATCCATTCCATCTTCAGCAGGATCCTCGGGTTCATGAACTATGGGGACCACAGGTGCCACTTCTAGTACTATTTGATCTCTCCCGTCTCCATTAGCTTCCACGTGGCCAACTTCTTCTCTGAAGAACACTGGGTCATTACTAAACGCAAGCACTTCTTGCCAAATTTGCATGTGGGATATGAACACGGTGAATAACTATCGCCCTCTTCATCTCTGGAGTGAAAAGAACTTCCTCTTGGCTAACGAAAGCGATTTGGTTGTAAAAGCGTCGACGTGCTTCGCGGAGGACTTCCTGATTTTGACGAGCTAGGTCTCACGGTTCGACCCCCCAGTGGCCCTGCTGAGCCTCGCTCAATCGATACCCTCAAAACTCGTCATAGCGAAGGATAGGCTCCATGTCCTGCAGTACACACAAGACGTAAATCTTGTAAATATTGAACCCAAGGCAAATATATGGGTAAGGAGGAAAACTACAGTAACTTAAGGCTGTAGTAAGGTTTCTTAAAGTATCTACCCCAAACAGGTCGCCGAATGAGACACTTAAACATGTAGCATGCATTGAGTGTCGTAGTGCAAGTGTCTTAGTGCTCGGTGGATTTAAGGTTCTCTAAACCTACAGCTCTGATACCAAGTTGTCACGACCTGAAATAGGGGCTAATCGGAATCGCGACCGGCCAGCACCTCATCTCGCACCCTAGGCCTACGACTAACTAGTTTAAAGAATAAATAAAGAAATCATCGCAAATACTAGGTGATTACATTTAACTAGAGCGTTGCTATATAAGTCATACAAGTCATAAATGAAAGTTAAGTTACAACAATAACTTGGCCCTATGCCAACAAAAGAGGTAATAGATGACTTATATAAAACTATAGGTCTAGAATCCATCCCAGGCCACGAGACACCACAAAAATAGGCCTTTGGTTATCCACTAAGCATTCTCTTTACCTGAAATGGGTTAGTGACACACCCGTGAGCTATAAAGCTTGTGAGAACATATTTACACAATTTACAAGTTTGTCACGGTTCAAAAGCCCAATGGCTGAAAAGACAAAATAAATGCTCTTATATATATATATATATATATATATATCAAAATATACATACATATGTCCATTCGACTGGATATGTTGCCAGAGAAGTAGGGAGCTACCCATACTAATATCAAGTGGTCATGATCATGCCAAGGGACGATGGTCGCGTCCCAACAACCACCCTTATAATGCCTCACTCGTTGGAATCTGTAATTTCCCCCAACGTTCGGGATGTTCCGTTCGAATGTACATTATTACATTTGCAAGAGTTTTATAACAATGTCTTAACCATGGCTTCATAAAAACAATATGTATATAAACAATACTTGTGAGTGGGCTTATCCCATTAGCTCACGTTTTCTAAAACATAACATGATTTTCAAAATGTATTCAAGGTACTTTTCCAATCATAGGCATACGTGCTAAAGTTCAAAATAATATGTTTATTCGGTTATTCGTAAATCAATGCAATCTCATGCCCCAAAATAATTCATCGATCAAAGCATGTCATTATATTCAAATACATGTAAAAAACGTAAGCATGAACTCACCTAAATGTACACGAAGTTTAGTAAATCAACCGAAACCGAGGTCTAAACAGAACGTATGAAAAACTACATTATAGTAGGTCTAGGAATTAATTCTAAGAATGAAATAAATATTCAAACCATAATCCCAAAGCGTACAATTTAAAAGGTGTCCTTCTCTTACGATTCAGAAATTCTTAGTTTGCAGCACTTTAGATCAGAGGCTAAAATCCTAATCAAAACACTTTAAAATATTCTAAAATTTTAGAGGGTTATCAATCAAGATGTTATGAAACTTTTTCATGAAGGACTCGTCTCCCAAAAATGCTCATAAACAGGGTAAAATGGCAGTAAAACAAAACTGGTCCAGATCCGTTGCAGTTTCTAAAAAACTATTTCCACAACAATCTAGCCGTTGGATCGAGTTAAAACAAATTGGGTTGGAAAGATAACACTCTAATTTAACTTGGGTACGAACATAAACCGTTAAAGTAGCCTAAATATGTTTTGACGAATTTTCAAAGTAGACTGTCTGTTCAGGAAAAAAAAAACTGGTTGTTGGGTAAAATCCTTGTTTTGAGCTTTAGCCTCATGGTTCATTGCAACATGATATCAATGGGAGGAAATAAAGTCTAAACTGTATTTTAGGATTTAGATTCATGGTTCATTGTAACATGAAATCAAAGGAAAGAAATGAAGGCTTTAACTTACGAAATTGAAGTAGATATAGAGAGGAATTTACCTAGACTTGAAGCTTGAAGAACAAAGATGAAAGTGTTTGATTTTCTCTCTTAAATCTACAGATTTTTAGCAAGAAGATGAAGTTTCTACACATATAGGATATATATAGGAAGAAAGGAGTAGGTCGGATCAATGGCTAGGATTGAATGGTGAAGTATGTGGTAAAAAGGGAAGTGAGGTGGATATATCTTTCACCTCACCAAGAAATTACAGCCATGGTGGCTGATTTTACCACCACAAATTGCAATGCTCGGATAAAACGCAACGCGCAGACATCCGGGCTGTCCGAAAATCGGTTTGAGAAAAATTCCATTTAATCACTGTTGACTAATTTCAACATTCTGAGTTCGATGGTGTGATCCATTCCACCTAAAGAAAAAAAATATACATCTTCATGAGTTTCATTTTTGACACACTCGAAGAGGATTATCAATTATTGTTTTGTTATAGGTCCGCCCCGGATGGCGAAGTATAGATAATATTTATTAACATGACATTGATGAACTTATTAAATATGAGATATGACCTCCGTTCATTGACGATGTCAAACAAAAGGCGAAAAGTTGGGTCGGGTCTTCACAACATCCCTAGTGGGAGTGGTAAACATACCGATCCTAATATCGAGGAAGAAAACCATAATGAAATAGCACGGGAATAAGGTCGTCGGCAAAGAATGAGACACCCCGAAGAAATCAGGTCGAGATAAGTATTACAACGAAAGCGACCTCTAGGTATAGAAAGATAGGTGCCTTAGGAGAGACAACGAGATGAAGTGAATGGCCAACAAGTTGGCAAATCTACAATCGGTTGTCAACTTCATGATGCAGAATAATGTCATGCAACCACCATTTCCGTTGCAGGACACGCCGATGCCAGGGGCCAAGACTAATGCCCAGAAAGGGGGGTAGAAAACAATCCCAGCAATCCCACAGCATGGCAAGGAAAAGGAGCCCTCACATCGGCCTTCAAGGGATGTTAGTCGAGGAGAATCGATTAGAGGCGACTCGCCTCGTACCAGGAGAACTTATGTCAAAGAACCCCAACACATTCAAGGGAAGGGCTTGTGTTTTAACACGATGAATGAAGAGAAGTCCAAGAGGACACATAACAACACTGGGAAGAGCGCACCAAAAAGACTGAAATCTGTTGACAGCCGAGCTCTTAGTCAGACTAAAAAGGATTTGAGAGACTACCTCCAGAGAAAGCGACAAGATGCCGAGGTCACATCTCCGGTTAAGTCGAGAACAGCATTCTCAGTAGAACTGGACAAGTTTAAGGCCCTGAAAAGATTTCAGATGCCGAGATTCTAGATATATGACGGCAAGTCTGATCCTAATTTCCACATTGGCTTGTACCTAAACTCAATGGCACTGTACACCAAGAATGAGCCATTGTTGTGTAAGGTATTCTCCTCGTCTTTGGGGGAAATCGCATCAAACTGGTTTCACAAGTTACCAAAAGGAACTGTGAAGAGTTGGGAAGGCCTGGCCGAGATGTTCGTGGCCAGGTTTATGACAAACAAACTGCAGAATTAATTCTAAGCATGAAATAAATATTCAAACCATAATCCCAAAGCGTACAATTTAAAAGGTGTCCTTCTCTTACGATTCAGAAATTCTTAGTTTGCAGCACTTTAGATCAGAGGCTAAAATCCTAATCAAAACACTTTAAAATATTCTGAAATTTTACAGGGTTATCAATCAAGATGTTATGAAACTTTTTCATGAAGGACTCGTCTCCCAAAAATGCTCATAAACAGGGTAAAATGGCAGTAAAACAAAACTGGTCCAGATCCGTTGCAGTTTCTAAAAAACTATTTCCACAACAATCTAGCCGTTGGATCGAGTTGGAACAACTTGTGTTGGAAAGATAACACTCTAATTTAACTCTGGTCCAAAAATCAACCGTTAAAGTGGACTAAATTTTTTTTTCGAATTTTCAAAGTAGACTGTCTGTTCAGGAAAAAAAAAACTATTTGTTGGGTAAAATCCTTGTTTTGAGCTTTAGCCTCATGGTTCATTGCAACATGATATCAATGGGAGGAAATAAAGTCTAAACTGTATTTTAGGATTTAGATTCATGGTTCATTGTAACATGAAATCAAAGGAAAGAAATGAAGGCTTTAACTTACGAAATTGAAGTAGATATAGAGAGGAATTTACCTAGACTTGAAGCTTGAAGAACAAAGATGAAAGTGTTTGATTTTCTCTCTTAAATCTACAGATTTTCAACAAGAAGATGAAGTTTCTACACATATAGGATATATATAGGAAGAAAGGAGTAGGTCGGATCAATGGCTAGGATTAAATGGTGAAGTATGTGGTAAAAAGGGAAGTGAGGTGGATATATCTTTCACCTCACCAAGAAATTACAGCCATGGTAGCTGATTTTACCACCACAAATTGCAATGCTCGGATAAAACGCAATGCGCGGACATCCGGGCTGTCCGAAAATCGGTTTGAAAAAAATTCCATTTAATCACTGTTGACTAATTTCAACATTCTGAGTTCAATGGTGTGATCCGTTCCACCTAAAGAAAAAAAATATACATCTTTATGAGTTTCATTTTTGACACACTCGAAGAGGATTATCAATTATTGTTTTGTTATAGGTCCGCCCCGGATGGCGAAGTATAGATAATATTTATTAACATGACATTGATGAACTTATTAAATATGAGATATGACCTCCGTTCATTGACGATGTCAAACAAAAGGCGAAAAGTTGGGTCGGGTCTTCACAACATCCCTAGTGGGAGTGGTAAACATACCGATCCTAATATCGAGGAAGAAAACCATAATGAAATAGCACGGGAATAAGGTCGTCGGCAAAGAAGGAGACACCCCGAAGAAATCAGGTCGAGATAAGTATTACAACGAAAGCGACCTCTAGGTATAGAAAGATAGGTGCCTTAGGAGAGACAACGAGATGAAGGGAATGGCCAACAAGTTGGCAAATCTACAATCCGTTGCAGGACACGCCGATGCCAGGGGCCAAGACTAATGTCCAGAAATGGGGGTAGAAAACAATCCCAGCAGTCCCGCAGCATGGCAAGGAAAAGGAGCCCTCACATCGGCCTTCAAGGGATGTTAGGCAAGGAGAATCGATTAGAGGCGACTCGCCTCGTACCAGGAGAACTTATGTCAAAGAACCCCAACACATTCAGGGGAAGGGCTTGTGTTTTAACACGATGAATGAAGAGAAGTCCAAGAGGACACATAACGACACTGGGAAGAGCGCACCAAAAAGACTGAAATCTGTTGACAGCCGAGCTCTTAGTCAGACTAAAAAGGATTTGAGAGACTACCTCCAGAGAAAGCGACAAGATGCCGAGGTCACATCATCGTCAAACCGAGAATGCTATTCTCAGTGGAGTTAGATAGGTTTAAGGCCCCAAAAAGGTTTCATATGCTGAGGTTCCAAATTTATGACAGTAAATCTGATCAGAACTTTCACGTCAGCTTATATATGAATTCAATGGCCTTGTACACCGAAAACGAACCGTTATTGTGCAAGGTGTTCTCCTCATCCTTTGGAGAAATCGCATCGGATTGATTTCACAAGTTGCCGAAAGAAACTGTGAAGAGTTAGGAAGGCCTGGCCGAGATGTTTGTTGCTAGGTTTGTTACAAACAAGTTGCAGCCACTAAGGATAAACTCCCTGATGGCTCTTAAAATTAACGAGGGTGAAGGCCTCAGGGCTTATGCCAAAAGGTATTATGAGGTGTTCAATCGAATACCGGGATGCAACCAAGAATTGGCAGTCGTGTCTTTTAAGAATGGCCTAGAGGATAAATGCCCGCTTCGAAAGTCGCTGGCAAAAACTCTACCAAAGATTATGGAGGAGCTCAAGGCACGGATCGAGAAATATGCCAGAGTAGAAAAGGATACGCCGGAAACGAAGGCACTGAAACAGGAGAAGAGAAAAGGCTCGCCGAAGTGAGGCCGAGGTAATATTGGTTTTAACAGGCAGAAAACAAGGATAAGGGGTGCACAGGTAGTCACCACTGTGTTCCGGATCCCGGTTTATAAAGTTCTAGAAAGGATCAGAAACCAGCCGTATTATAGAGCGTCGGAGAAGGCCTCTACCGAGTTTATGGGAAGGAGCCTTGGGAAGCATTGTGCCTACCACAATGAGGATGGGCACCTGACTCAGGGGTGCAAAGCCCTAAAGACGCACTTGAAGGACCTAGTAGATGAAGCTAAAATAAGGAAAGAACTTGCAAGGCTTCCCTCACCAGTGGCATCACCACCGCTACAACCACAGCAAGCAGAACCTCGGGTAATCAATGTAATTCACTCAAAGGTTAATGAAAATGATATGCGAGAAAAGACCCAAAAGGTGAGGCACTTACAACATGTGTATCAAGTCCAGTAAAAAAGGCCTAGGAAAACAAGTACCAGGAACCAATGATATCCTTTATTGAGGCAGACCTAGACATGGTGCAGCATCCATACAACGATACTCTAGTAATGACCCTCAAGATTGGAGAATGCTAGGTAAGGCGTATTCTGATCAACTAAGACGGCTCTTGTGGCATCATATATGTCAGATGTTATAAGGAGCTTGGCCTTCACCAAGATGATTTGGAGCAATCTGACAGCCCAATGGTCGGGTTTAATGAAAAACCGACATGGCCTCTAAAAGCAATAAATTTAGAGGTGCAGGCAGGCAATAGGAATGTTAGCACAAAATTTAAGGTAATTGATACCCTCTCCCCTTACAATGCTATATTGGGAAGACCATGGCTGCACGTAATGAGGGTTGTTCCCTCAACACTGCACCAATTGTTATAATTTCCAACTAAATAGAGAGGATCAAGTATAGGCAAATAATTGCTCCATGACAGCAATGAAATCCAACTACAATGTGCGAGAGGCAGAAGAAGTAGAACTCAAGGACAAGGACATAGAAGTCGTAGATGATGTCGGCAAAGAACCGACCGAGAAGAGCGACGAAGCCTTGAAGAAAATTCTGGCCCAAAAAAGGGATGAAGAGCGGTTCTTCCTTCTCGGCTCAGGCTTAGCCGAGGAGGAGGAAAGGAAGTTAGAGGCTTTCTTACGGGCCAACATAAAATTATTTGCCTGGACACCATATGACATGCCAAGCATTAACCCCGAGGTCACATGCCATATGCTCAATGTAGACAGGTTGGCTAAACCTGTCATCTAGCGAGCAAGAAGGCTGACATTAATGCATATAAGGAGCTTGGCCTTCACCAAGATGATTTGGAGCAATCTGATAGCCCAATGGTCGGGTTTAATGAAAAACCGACATGGCCTCTAAAAGCAATAAATTTAGAGGTGCAGGCAGGCAACAGGAATGTTAGCACAAAATTTAAGGTAATTGATACCCCCTCCCCTTACAATGCTATATTGGGAAGACCATGGCTGCACGTAATGAGGGTTGTTCCCTCAACACTGCACCAATTGTTATAATTTCCAACTAAATAGAGAGGATCAAGTATAGGCAAATAATTGCTCCATGACAGCAATGAAATCCAACTACAATGTGCGAGAGGCAGAAGAAGTAGAATTCAAGGACAAGGACATAGAAGTCGTAGATGATGTCGGCAAAGAACCGACCGAGAAGAGCGAGGAAGCCTTGAAGAAAATTCTGGCCCAAAAAAGGGATGACGAGCGGTTCTTCCTTCTCGGCTCAGGCTTAGCCGAGGAGGAGGAAAGGAAGTTAGAGGCTTTCTTACGGGCCAACATAAAATTATTTGCCTGGACACCATATGACATGCCAAGAATTAACCCCGAGGTCACATGCCATATGCTTAATGTAGACAGGTTGGCTAAACCTGTCATCTAGCGAGCAAGAAGGCTAACATTAATGCATATTAAGGCAGTTGAGGAGGAAGTGAACAAACTGCTGGAAGCCAAAGCCATTCGCGAAGTGAACTACCCTACTTGGCTATCCAACATTGTGATTATGAAAAAGAAGCACGACAAGTGGAAGGTTTGTGTTTATTTCACCAGCCTGAATAAGGCTTGCCCCAAGGACAATTTTCCACTGCCCAAAATTGATCAGTCAGTCGATGCCACTTCAGCGCATGCAAGGATGAATTTCCTAGACGCATACAAAAACTATCACCATATAGCAATGTATGTCCCAGATGATGAAAAGACAGCATTCATCACCCCGAAAGGACTCTATTGTTATAGAGTGATGCCTTTCGAGTTGAAGAATGCAAGAGTAACCTACTAGAGATTGGTTACCAAGATGTTTAGGCATCTGATTGGGAGGACGGTAGAGGTCTATATTGACGACATGATTGTGAAAACCAAAGAACTTGGGAACCATTTGGCAGACTTGAAGATAATTTTTGATATGTTAAAAACATATTGGCTCTGACTCAATGCTTCGAAATGTACATTTGGAGTCGGGTCTGGTAAGTTTCAGGGATACTTGGTTACCAGAAGGGGAATTGAAGTAAGCCCAGATCAAATCAAGGCCATCATTGACTTGACAAGCCCAACATCAGCAAAACAAGTACAGATGTTGACTAGAAGGACTGCAGCCCTAAACAGGTTTATAAGCCAAAGTTCGGACAAGTGTAAACCATTTTATAATTTGTTAAAAAAGGCCACAGATTTCTTGTGGACAGAGGAGTGTGAATTCGCCTTGACCGACTTGAAAAAATACTTGACAACTGCTCAAGTTCTGTCAAACCCAATACCTGGAAAAGAACTGTTCTTATACTTGGCAATTTTAGAGCGTGCAGTGAGTGCAGTGGTAATCAGAGAAGAGAAGGGAGAAGAAAATACAGTATACTATGTTAGTAAAACCCTTGCAAGTGCAGAAACTAGGTACTTACCCCTGAAAAAATTGACACTGGCCTTAGTGATGGCTTTCAAAAAGTTGAATCATTATTTCCAAGCCTACAAGATTGTGGTGTTGACTGAGTATCCCTTGAAGTCCCTGTTGCAGCAAGGAGATCTGACAGACAAGGTAGCCAGATGAGCAGTAGTGTTGGGCTAGTATGACTTGGAATTTAGGCCTAGAACAACAATTAAAGGCCAGGTTCTGGGCAACTTTGTATCTGAGTTCACCCTTGGTGGCATCTCACGGCGGACTCCAGTGAGCCGCAGCTTGGGATACCAAGGAGAGCAGGAAAAAACCCAACTGGGACCCAAGAACCCTACTCCAGCAAAACAGAAGAAAGAAGATAAACCAAAGCCTTGGGATATCTACATCGGTGACTCCTTCTTCCTGTTTGTTGATGGAAGTTCAAACCGTCAAGGGACAGGGGCATGAGTGGTTCTGGTATCACTAGATAGGCGAATGATTGAGCAGCCTATCCGTTTGGGGTTCAAAGCCTTAAACAACGAAGTAGAACACAAGGCACTGATTGCTGGACTAAAAATAGTAGTAGCATTGAAAGCCGATGATGTGGTAGTCTTTTGTGACTCCCAGCTTATTGTGAATCAAGCAACGAGTAAGTATACAGCCCGAGATGAAAGGATGATAGCTTATGTCAAAGAGGTTGTCAAGCTGCTCACACTATTCCATGATTACCGACTACAGCAGGTTAGTCGAGATGACAACAGTCATGCCGATGCCTTGGCCAACCTAGCTACTGCAATGAAATCAGGTGAGGCAAGCATAATAATAGTTGATTATTTGTCAAGCCCAAGAGTGGAGCCCCAGATCATAGAGTATGAAGCGATATGTATGGAAATGGGTCCCAGCTAGATGGATGCAATAATAATGTTCCTTAGGGATGGCAAGCTGCCAGATGACCAAAAAAAGACAAACAATACCAGATTAAAGTCGGCCAGGTTTAGCCTAACAGCAGATGGCCATCTCTATAGGAAATCCTTCACAGGACCCCTTTTAAGATGTGTACATCCCTCCCAGGTTGAGGACTTTCTGTACAAGATTCATGAAGAAGTTTGTGGAAGCCATGCTAGAGACAGATCACTCGCTTATAGGGTCATCACTCAGGGTATTAGTGGCCCTACATGCAGAAAGATACTGAATCATACGTCAAGAAGTGTGAGAAGTGTCAAAGGTTCGCACCTTTGATACATTAACCAATAGTAGATTTGAACCCAGTATCCAGTTTTTGGCAATTTGCCCAGTGGGGCATGGATCTTATTAGACAACTGCCCCAAGCAACTGGACAAAGGAAGTTTCTACTAGTAGTAATTGACTACTTCACGAAATGGGTAAAAGCTGAACCTTGTGAAGATTTAAGATATTGATGCGAAGAAATTTATATGGAAGAACTTCATCATTAGGTTTGGGATCCGAAGGGCAATAATAGCAGATAATGATACACAGTTTGACAGTAAGCTAATCAAAAGCATATGTGCAAAGTACAAAATTAAGAAGTACTATTCTACTCCAAGTTTCACTCAAAGCAATGGTCAGGCAGAAGCATCTAATAAGACTATTTTGGATGGGATCAAGAAGAGGCTGGAAGCAGCAAAAAGGAAGTGGGTGGAAGAGTTGCTCAATGTGCTCAGGGCATATCGGACTACGCTGAGAAGATCAACTGGGGAATCTCTTTTTGCCATGGCTTATGGCACTGAAGCAGTTATCCCACTAGAAGTCGGCATCCCTGAAGTCGGGACCCAAGGAGTGGAAGATGGGACCAATGAGGCATTCTTAGCCCAAGATCTAGATCTATTGGAAGAAAGATGGGAAATAGCAGCAATTCGACTAGGGACATACCAGCAACAACTTGCTAGGACTTACAACAAGAAAGTCAACCCAAGAGAGTTCAAGGTTGGGGACCCCGTCCTAAGAAAAGTTGTTGGCAACAAGAAGGATCCTAGGGAGGGCAAACTTGGCCCAAACTGGGAGGAGTCTTATAGAATCATCTCGATTACCAACAGTGGGGCATATCGGCTTGAAGACACTAATGGCAAGGAGTTGCCAAGCCCCTATAACACTTGCAATTTGAAGTTCTTTTATCATTAGTTTTTTGTTTTTCGAAGTTTATGTCATAATTTTATTAGCCGGAGTAATAATAAAATGTTAGTTTGATTTTTATGAATTTGAAATTTGTGCAATAGGACTGACCAGTCCTATGACGATGTTTCCGACTGAAACATGACGAATAACTTAGACTTATTATACGACATAGTTGAATTATACTTGCATATAATAGAGTTGAATTAAGTTGGTGATGTTTCTGAATGAAATATGACAAATAACTTAGACTTATTTATATGGCAGAGGTGAATTATAATTGCATTCAATAGAGATGAACTAAATTTGCGATGTTTCTGACTGAAATATGACGAATAACTTAGACTTATTACATGGGAGAGTTGAATTATACTTACATATAATATAATTGAACTAAGTTGAATTAACCTAGACTTGCCATATCAGCAGAGTTGAACTCAATTGAATAAAATCGGACTTAGTTAATGTGTCGGTAGAATGGAACTAAGTTTGCTTTAGTTAAATTAACAGAGAAACTAAGGTCAAACACCTCAGCTAACCTTTGTTTGATTCTGACTTTGGCAAAAGACCATAAACGCATAATGTGAACTTAAGTGAAACTTAGGTTCACATTAGGCGGCAGGAAGCAGGAATAATAAATAAGCTTGGGAGCTTGGCACTTGTTTAAATTTTTAGAATAAATTTACAAGTTAAACTGGGCTTGACACTTGTTGAAATTTTTGAAAAAATTTACAAGTTGGAGTCAGTTGAGCAAACCAGATAAAAGGCTACCCGAGGTATTTGTTAGCCGAGATCACCAACCAGGTTCTGAAACTTGGGAGGGTGAAGTGTTGATTAACTGACAGCAAGTACAAGTCAAGGAAGAACACTTGTAAAAATGTTTTTAAGTGTTGTTTTGCCAAGATCACAGTAAAAGGTGGACTTTGAGGTAAGTTGGTATGAGGTAACCAACTATGGATGGATCCGAGGTAATACTAGTCCAAGGTGTTCCAAGACGAAGTAATCACTCAAAGAAAGTTGTGGGAGTGTGAAAATATTCTAAGTATGGAAGCGTACAATGCATAGAAGAAAAGCAGTAAAGCATAAAAAAACAATCATAAATTCAACATTTAGAAGAAAAGAAGGCATGCAATAAGAAAAAAAAACTTGGTCAGACACAAAAAGGCACTTCTGCCAGACATAAGAGATTACTTGTCCAAGTTACAATAGGTTATAATTGAAAGAGAAAAGTTCAGAGTAAAAAAAATATCCTAAGTGCTGGAAACATTGGCATTTTTGTCAGATTGCTCAACCTCGACTGTTGGCGTTGTGTCGGCATTGGTTGGCAGTAAGGATTCCTTCTTTGCCGCTATCTTGGCGCCAATCTTGAGTAACGTATCATCGAGGCTTTTTTCGGCTGTATGGACTTCGGTCTCAGATGTCGTATTCTTAGGAAATGCACTTTTGGAGACCTCGTCTTTTTCATCTTGAGTCAAGTCCAGGACTTGCTCATTCAGAGTAGGGGACTTAGTCCTAGCAGCAGCCTCTTCTTCTTCATCATCTTCAGCCTCAGCGTCCTCCTCTTTGGCCTCATCATCTGATCCTTTGGAAGCTGGAAAGAAAGGCACTTGGAACTGGTTGATATCTCGAAGGATGGAGTCCATTGCAACAGATAACGTATTGAGAGCCACCGTCCAACAGAGGTAATAACCTCAGTTGCAAGCCAAATTGACTTACACTTTGTACTGGTCGTGGACAGTGGCTTGGCCTTCTTCAAAAGCCTTTTCGTTGGCCGTTTTGACCTCGGCCTCTTTTGAGTCAATGGCCTCCTTTAGCTTGGCCTCTAACTCCGCTGCCCTGGCCTTGGCAGCCTCGGCTTTGGTGACCTCAGCAACTGCGTCAGCAACTTTGGCTTTAGTCTCAGCCTCAGCTTGAGCAACCTTGGCAGCCTCAGCAAACTTCGGTTGCTGGCCTTGGTGTGGTTAAGTGAGGAGAGGAATTTGGTAGTTTCTTGAGTTTTCTTTACCAACTCCTTCCTCGTCATCTCGGTCTTAACCGCATATGAATGCGCATGCTGGATAGCCTACAAGGAATAAAACAAATTAGTAAAGATTCTGGCTAAGTAGTGGAAAGCTAAAAATGATATAACATGAGATTTACCAAGATTGAATGCTGCATCATTAAGCCGAAGTTCTCATACTCATGGAGATCGACCATATGATTCATATCTTCAGGTAGAAGTACGGTCGTTGACAGGGCGACGCCGACTTCAATGCTCTCGATCGTGCTGTCACCGGCTGTCAATGGCCTATCCCCCACCATGACCTCGAGCACCTAGCTCATATTGCGAGGGAAATTGCTACTACCCTCTGAGCAATCTGACATCAGCTTCTTTGGCAGTCGGGCATCAAGTGTTGCCTCCTCGGCTGGTCTCTTCTCGGTAGCGGTAGTGTTCTTTTCAATCTTGGCTAGCTTGGAGATTGGCACAGTGTCCTCAAAGTCAACTTGCGTCGCTATAGCCTTAGCCTTGGCCCTCTTTATTCTTTTCGGCTTCAACTTGGATTAGGATGGAAAAGAAGAGGACTGCACAGTCACAACCCTAGGAATGTTGGCAAGAAGATCTTCAATGATGGCTGGTTTGCGGCCCATTTCGTCGGCAGTGGCAGCGACGGTTACTCTAGTGCCAAAGTGGATTGCTGAAAGGGCGATTTGGGGATTGGCTGGATCGTAAGCCGACACTTCAGATTCTCGGCATTTGTGGCTTCGATTTCTACCAGCTGGTGTGTTTGGTGGAGCACGACGTCAGCGTCGGCATTGGGATGGTGGAATCAACTGGCAGGGCAGATGTAGATAGCAGCTTTACTGGATCTGAAGAGAAAACCCGGTCAACCCTTGGTGAAGAGGTGACTTGAGGGGTTAAGGCAGATGGTGGAGTTTAACTTCTCCTAGGAACGTCACGCAGAGCCGACTTGTATATGGGTATGTAGTTCAGTAGAAGAGGTTCTTTGCGTTTTTGGATGGAGAGATCCAGAAACTTCTTTAAACCTTGGCTTGGGACATAAGAC